ACTTTGGCCTTAAAGTACTCCCTATACATAGGTACTCTGGGGCCAAAGCATATCCCAAACCCTAAACCCTAAACCCTAAACCCCTAAACCCTAAACCCTAAACCGCTAAACCGCTAAACCCTAAACCCTAAACCGCTAAACCCCTAAACCCTAAACCTAAATCCTTGAAGATGTGCAGTCCGTGTTTCCATTCATCCCCCCACTGCCGCCGTTCGCGCCGAATGGCCGCACGGGCCTTCGACAGCAGGGCTCAGTCTGGGTCTCGGGTTTAGGGCCTCGGGTTTGTTAGGGCTTAGGGTTTAGAGTTTGTTAGGGTTTAGGGCTTAGGGTTTAGGGTTTAGGGTTTAGGTTTAGGGCCTCGGGTTTGTTAGTTGTCATTCTTCTTGTTGTTCTTATATACTGTTACGACTATTCTGGCTAGTATTATTATGACGAGACTAGTATATCGTTCTCAATGCGAGCATTTGGATGATTGTAGTTAGTACTAACCTAGCAAACAACACATCACTGATATTACACATCGTATCAGGGTGTGGGGCTTTGGCACGAGGGGCTTTGGCACGAACGCTCAACCGGAAACTACTCGGAGGGTACATCTTACAGAGAAAGCAGCGGGGCCTCAGTGCAAAACAAGAGGGGAACTGAATCTTAAAGGGGATGCCTTCAAATCAAGATTCAGACAGGGATTGTGCAGGATTGAGCCCTGCAGGGTTTGGAACTTGGAACTCAAATCCATCGCTTTTGTTCCGGCGCGGGCCGCAAGAAATCCAAGAGCACTTGGGTCTACCAGCCGAAGTTCTAGACAGAAAGGTTTGCATTAGAGCAATCTCCGAACCTACAAGCCCCAAAAGCCCTCTTCTTGTCACGTGCTCGTCGCCAGTATTGCTATGGCAGACCCGAAGCACTGGCCCAAAGGCTCCCAGGTACTGTTCTGGGGGATACTTCCTCGAATCATATTCGCAACTCCCAATGCAGAAACCCTACCTTCTACGGTAATTATAGCTACTTAAGAACCCTTGAAACCCGAAACCCTTAATCTTGAAGGAGCCTCAAAGAAAGTCTACAGCCTGCTATATATATATATAAATATATATATATATATATATATGTATGTATATATATATATACATATAGGTACTTGGGGCTCCTTGGGTTGCCGTCCCAGGCACAGGAAACCAAGAGGTCCCAGGCGGTAGTTCACCGACACAACGACCACGTCACCGCGGTGTGCCTACGAGTATGCGTAAACAAAGCGTACATACGTAAAACAAATGGACAACTTATACAAAGAAATAAGGGTGCGCACATATACCATATGCATGTTTGTCTTTCTGCATGTACGTATGTATGTGTATATGTAAGTGTGTACATATACGTATATATAATCATATACACATGTTGAGGATGGCTGAGGGTTTAGGAGGTTAGAGTTTACGTAAGTGTATGACCCGTAATCCGATCTCTACTCCACAGCGTGGACGATCAACTGTATAGGAGACGGGTTTGAAGTGCGCGCAAGCAGCTGGGCCAAGTTTGTCTGGAATAGAAGCTTCAGTATGTGAACTGTTGAATGCAGTCTCTCTTAACAGGACACTTTTCCGCCTGGGCCTACGGAGTCGGTGTGGGACACATCTCCTGTTCTCATTGCATGTAGATGCAAAAGCTGACACACAAGATATACACCAGACCACGAGTAAAGTTGGTGGATGTCTGGATCTCTGCGGCGGCACTACCAACAGAGCGTGTAGGGCCCACTGCAGTGACACCGGCGCTGGTTCTGGTGATGTTACTAGCTCGACTTCTCTGATATTACAACCTGATTCCTTCACAATTGTTGCATGAACACATTAAGAGTATTGCACAGCAACTTCAAAACCGAAGCAGAACCATCGCGGAGGACACACTTTCGGTCAGCATTAGCGTTTCAAAGCCGCCATCCATGCAACCCAGAAGCAAGCGCACTGCCGTTTCCAACGCCGCGGCCCTCGCCGGAGTCACCTGATGTGCTTCGCAGAACTAAGATGTATATGCCTCCGACCAGAAACCCAAAGGGTCCAAGTTATAGTATAGCATATACTTTGGGGGCCCAAATACCTACAAAGTGGCTACCATATTAATACTTGGACCCTTTGGGAAAAAATCCACCGTACCTTTTGCTGCGACCACCGGCAGATCATCAGATCCGACGCATGGGATTCCTACGAAATCGACTGCCCTCCCGACCCCTTCTCCGCACCATCGAATTTCGACCACAACGAGCAAACAAAAAACAGTCCAACCGCGCCCAAAAGCCCTCATATCACACCCTGCTGCTTCCACCCTCCCAGACGACAAGATCAGGTTGTAGAGTGCCCAGTTCGGCTGGGTCCGGGCAAGCAACCAGGCCAAGAAACCGAAACGGTCCCCTTCACCAAACTCGGATGCTGCACGCTTACATGAAACAAGACCTCTGCAATTGACAGCTTGTCTACTGGGTATAGGGCTTCCAGGGCCTTGTTCTGTTCTACTATGGGTTACAACCGAAAGCCCCTAAACCCTAAAACCCTAAACCCTAAGCTCAAGTTGCTAATACCCCTTAAACTCTATAACCCTATAACCTAAGCTCAAATTCCTAAGGTCCAGTGGCCCTGCACCATGCCGCCCCCATGGATCCAAACCATGGTCGCCTGGCTGCTTGCTGAAATCCTTTAAGGGTTCCTTTGAGGGTTCCTTTCAGGGCTCCTTTAAGGGCTCCTTTAAGGGCTCCTTTCAGGGTTCCTTTTCAGGGTTCCTTTAAGGGTTTCCTTAAGGGCTCCTTTCAGGGCTCCTTGAAGGGTTCGCTTATAGGGTTCCTTAATACAGTTCGTTTCTAAGGGATTTCAGGATAGCAGCAATAGCACGGTGGAGAGAATGTAGATTCCAGAAGGCCTAAGGCAGGCGCTGGTTTAAGAATAGCAGTAATGTAGGGTTCTGACCCTAAGATGTTGGCGGGACTAGATGATTATTCGCTTTGGGGCTTGGGCCCTTCGGGTCGGGTCGAGAGCCATTGGAGCCAGGAAAAAAATCTTGTTTCAGTATACTACAGGTTTTGGGTTTAGGGTTTAGGTATACATTCCATTACAAAAGGCTTGTCCACAAGACGATTTTGGGATCGTTAGCCCTCAACCGTGTGAAGCCCAACAACTAATCGGTGGACAGGAGACCCCGAGATCAGCACCAGCAGACCAGCCAGGACACAGCTACTGTAGGGGCCTGAAGAATTAGAACAGGGTCTTGGAGGTTCCTGATTATCATTATACTACAATATACTATAATATACTATAATATACTATACTATACCCCCAAACCCTCTTCTAGTTATTAAGGCCCCTATATTACAATGCATTCAAAAATACTAGGGCGGAGGAGGATGGCCCAAGTGCCTTCCCCCGAGTGGCAGGAATCAGCAGGATTCGGAGGCGCCGCCCAGAACGCTTTCTGCCAAGTACTGCCGGATCTCGACGAAGGCTACAAGGGCATCTGCCAACCGTTGGCGGGAAGTGGGACCACGGCACTCATGATGGGACCCCAACATGTCCCCAAATCCTCCCACTGTTGTTAGTGCATCCAGCGTAAATGATAGGATAGGACGCTGCATGAAATCAAGTGCCTTGCGGTCTCCAGGCTTTGTGCCCAAGGGTCGTCGAACGTCCAGAAACAAACAGTCCTGCATCGCATGGTTGTTTAGGGATCGGTGACGAGTGTATAAGTTTGTTCGAGTGTGTTGTAGGAACAGCATTGGTGATCCTGTGGGGTCCTTGTGAAGATATCAACTCCTACTTGAACATGATGAGTATTTCTTGGCGATTCCTGCCACAATGCGCATGCACACGTAAACGCAACGGTACCTGTAATTAGGTGTTGGAGTTGGTCAATATTTGTTGAGACTGCAGAAATATCAGGTCAGTCAGAGCGACCCCCTGTTTCAAAACGTCCACCTCAACCTACACCCCGTGCTCTGAACCCGTCTGTGCAACAAGCTGGGTGATGACATTTGCTGGATTTCGAGACCTTGAAGCCCTAACATTCGGTGCTTCAGGGCGTGAGGGGTTTGTAGGGCTTAATGAGGATGTTTATGGCTCTTAGAAGTTAGGATGCTGCAGCCTTGGAAGTTAGGGTGCTGAAGCCCGTTTAGGGTTTAGGGTTTAGGGTATAAAATCTAGGGGCCTAACCCAAAGGGTCCATGTATCCAAATACCATATAGGGACTACATTAAAGCCAATGTTCCACTATGTGGGTACATGGACCCTTAGGGTCTTCAGGTTCATGGGATGGGCGGTGTCTACACATAGCGCCTTCATGATGAGAACCCGATTTTTGTACAGTACAAAATACTGTTTATAGACTGACCTCTTTTTTGGAGTCACGGCTTCGGTCATAGGTTCAACAGTTGGAGTTTGTAAAACCTCAAGATCTGCAGCCGGTGCTCTAAATCCTGTCCTAATCCTGCGGCCTAAACTCTACAAAGGCCCTGGGCCGGAAGCTGGGTTTAGGGTTTAGGGTTTAGGGTTTAGGGTTTAGGGATTGATCTTCAAAGTCCTCCGACATGTCATCCGACGCAGTCGACCGACATGCCTTCACAGGGGGCTCGAAGCTCCAATTTTCTTAAGCCCATGTAGATGTGTGGCCTATTACTTACTGCCCCAATAAGCCAGGGAAATAAAAGGTTAAACTTTCGGATTACTACCAAATTATAAGAACCCAAAAAGTTTAAAAGTTGGGTATTGGGGAGCTAAGATTAAACAGAATCCCAAAGTCAGAGACACTCAGAAGACATCGGAGTGATTGACCTGAGGAGTCTCAATCACGAAGACCGTGCTGGAGTTCACTAGTTAGAACCATGGTGCCGGTGTACTTCTGCAGGACTTTCCGAATACGCCGACACAAGTTGGTCTGTTTGTGATATCATATGTCACACCTAAGATTTTCCAGAGTTAGGTAGTGGTATGCAGCTATAAAGCGATGTTTTATGAGTCTGCAAAAATATGGAGAGAGACAGAGAGAGTTACACGTAGTTGTATGATGTCATGTAGCTATAAAACGATAGGTATATATATATATATATATGTATATATATATATATATGTCTGTGTATAATATATATATATATATATATTATCTATTTATTTTTTAAACATATACAAACAGACATATACATACGTACACACATACATACATACAGACATTTATATTCATGTAGGCGAATATTTATCTATAGCTACCGGGCTGCATCGACCTTTGACCCTGGCGGCCTCGGCTGCGCTTTGGCCGGGTGGCGGCACGCAGGGAAACTTCCCGGGCTCCCAGCAGCGAGGTCCCTGCTTTGTGGCCTTGGAGGTAGGGCTTCGGGAGTTTAGGGTTTAG